CAAAAAAAGAAAAAGCTGAATAGTAGCCTTTGAATTTTATATGGACTTGTCCTCGGCTCAAAATTGAGGAATTTGAATTTGGTTTAGAATGATAGTGAAACTTAGACAGTTGAATTACAAAATTGCAGGCTGTTCCATCCTTCCCAAGTTCATTTCCTCATCTGTTTTCTGGCAATGATAACATTCGCTGCTTGATTCCATGTGCCATAGACCAGGTTTGTTCTTGCTCCTATATTTCTTTGTCGGATTTCTTCAATTTTTTTGACCTGTGGTTCCTTCAAATTTCTAATTATATTTGAATGATTAAGCAATTTGTTTTGCAATTATTATAAAGTGGAGCAATATGTTTTGTTGTCAACAAAATAGTTTTGGTTATATAGTCGGATGGGTGTCTTTTGTCTGAGAGAGATGGTTATTTCCCAATCATTAGAAGCAAACTTGATTGGCACAAGGATCTCCTCATAATATCCTAATTATAACCTCCACTATGATAGAAACCATTGAGCTCATGTAAAGAGTTCTTCTTTGATTTATATGTTTTATTGAGAGGCTTTTATTGATTGTACACATTCTGCACTACTGTTAAGTTGGCAACATCTTTGTGTGATATCTTTTTTTTATGAAGTAGTAAGATAATTTCATTAAATGGCATCAAGAAGATGCATTGCGAAAAATATACAACAAAATTGTGGCTGCTCATATACAAAAACTTACTGCATAACTAAGGAGCAGACACAATCCAAAAAAAATTCAAAACTAGTTACAGGGGCCTGTTTGAACCAACTAAATAAATTAATTAGACAAGTTGCTTTAAGAGAGTGATTAGGAGTTGAAATCCCATCAAAACATTTACGATTTCTCTCATTGCAGATGCACCAAAAAATAGAAGCAGGCACCATTTGCTAAGTTTTCTTGATGGATTTCCCAACTCTCCATGAGCACCAACTCTCATAAGCATCCTTGATACTGTAAGGCATGACCCAATCAAGTCCAAAACTGATAAAAACATGTTCCATATGTCAGTTGCTACTGTGCAATGAGAAACAGATGTCTCACACTCTCAAATTCCTCCTGGCACATAAAACATAAAACATCTGTTCACTGTCGGAATGCTTCTTCTACTGAGGTTGTCTTGAGTGAGGCAGGCTTCATACAGGCTTGCCCAGATAAAACCAATTACTTTTATAGGGAGTTTGGTTCTCCATATAAGCTTCCATGGCCATTTGTCAATCAGCTCTTTATTGGAGCATAGATTGTCATATCCTCTTTTGACAATATAGGTTCTATCTTTGGAATCCCCCCATTCCAGCTTGTCCTTCACCTTAGGGTTGACCTTAACATTTGATAATTTTGAAAGCAATCTCAGCAGGTCATTTAGTTCCCAGTCTTGGATATCTCTTCTGAACTGCAGTGCCCATGCGTTATCTTGCCAATAGTGGATTCCTTGTTGCTGGCCAGTAAAAATAGACTTGGGTGTTCGTCTTTCAGGATCTCTGTCCCTAACCATCTGTCTTTCCAGAAAGAAATATGAGAATTCTCAAGCTTGAGTGATGACTTGAGTTGGAAGTCACCCTAGTGTTTAAAAACGCGCCCGCTTCCTAGTTTTAAGAGAGAAGCGAGGCGATGCGTGAAGGGCAGCGCTTTGATACGATATGCTACTGCTATGAGTTGGAAGATGCTAATGATGTGGAGTTGCTGATATTATTAATTACACCATTAGATCTTTTTTATTCCACATTAGTCCAACTAGTTATGTTGTTTAAATTTTAGCTTGTAAGTTTCCTTTTATTAGTTTTAGTCCCTCCACTACCTATGCTGTATTTAACTTGTAAATCAGTAGAGGAAAGTTATGAATGAAATTAACCTTTACTTTTTGCCCTAGTTTTCCTTTTTCTCTTAGTTGTAGCTTTAGTTTTCTTCACTGCAATTTCAGTCTTGTATCAGTGGTATCAGAGCATCGAACCTGCTCTGTGGGTATTTCTGAAGAGATGGCATTGGATATGGAGAAGATAGGAGAGTTGGTGCAACCTCAGTGTACGAGGTTACCTCTGCCGGGCTGCGTGAACAATTCACAAGAAAAGGGGAGGAAAAGGGTCTTATCAATGATGATAGGCTTCTATTCAGTGCCTCTTGCTATGCGGCTAAATTTTTTCTTGGTGCATTTTATTCTTTTGTTCAAGTGGACAGTCTAAGTACTGTGGTTAACAGAAGCTGTGTGCTTAACTCTTCTGTTCAGTCACAATTCTTGTATAATGGTGAGCACACCTTTATGTTAATTGTCATTCCAACTGAAGGTTTATACTCCAGTTATTCAACACAGAAGGTTCTTGGTGTATTAATAATTCATGTGGGCTTATGGATAAGTCTTATAGTGAGTTATGAGGTGTGCATGGTGATCCTCATAGCTACTTATCGTTCAAAGATAATTGGCATTATGGATTACTTAGAGGCAACTGTTGGTGAAAATCTGCACAAGGAATATGAAGTACTTGATGTTCAGTTGAGTAAAAGGCCCTTTGTATCTTCTTATTTAAATGAACTATTGATGACTATGTAAGAACAAAGTGATGATATCCACTCGGTGAAGAAGATGAAGATGATATTCTCTGTGTGCTTGCTCTACATTGGGATGAGAAGAGAAGGTTCACTTGGCAGGCACTTCTATGTATCTAAGCTTCCTTTGATATTCAATTTTCTTTGTGTTGTATGGGGTTATAAACATGAGAACTCTTGGTTGGCTGCAGTGAAGGCAGTCAAGAATTTCATACATGAATACTATGTTGGAGATATCAAATGGAGTAATTTTAATGTTCAGTTAATACATACAGGAGTGCAAGCCATTGTGGAGGAAAGAGTATTAATGGTTAGAAAGAGATTGGTTTTTGACAATGTGGCCACAACATTGAGATTGGACCTGCTTGTTTGCTTGAGCTAATGAACTTTGACATGAGAGTGACTGCAACTGTTTTTGATGCAGCAAAAGCTCTTGAGCAAATAGGAACTACAGGAGTGGAGGTGCATTTCATTGCTATCACTTGTGAGAACATGAAATTTCAGTTTCTTGGACTTCATCACTGTCAAAAGCACCAGCCTACAATTGCTCTGATTAATACTGAAGTTATAGGTAATCTTGCTGAGTTGTTTCATGACAAGGACACTGAAATTACAGTTGATAATGCTAGTACCAAGAAGTTGAGGTTATTTCTCTTGTTGCTGAAGTTACCATGTCAAAATTATGAGAAATCTTGTATTCCACTTGGTATTAAAACATTGCTGAAGGGGAATAGTACACAATTTTGCCAACTTGCCACTGTTCATAGCTTGCAGCTACTGCCTTTTGAAGGAATATTGTGGCCTTTTGCAGCTAAGATTCAAAGTCTCCCAGTTTTTTATGATTCGTCAAAATTCCCATTTGATTCCGGTGGAATTACCACCCTTGAGGACAAGGGTGATTTTAAGAGGAGGGATCTGATACGATATGCTACTGCTATGAGTTGGAAGATGCTAATGATGTGGAGTTGCTGATATTATCAATTACACCATTAGATCTTTTTTATTCCGCATTAGTCCAACTAGTTATGTTGTTTACATTTTAGCTTGTAAGTTTTCTTTTATTAGTTTTAGTCCCTCCACTATCTATGCTGTATTTAACATGTAAATCAGTAGAGGAAAGTTATGAATGAAATTAACCTTTACTTTTTGCCCTAGTTTTCCTTCTTTTCTTAGTTGTAGCTTTAGTTTTCTTCGGTGCAATTTCAGTCTTGTATCACGCTTCAGCAAGGTGAAGCGACTCAGGTCAGTAAAAGCGACCGCTTCTCTGTAAAGAGCGAGATGCGGGGAAAGCGAAGCGAAGAAGCGTCCGCTTCTCTGTTTTAAAATACCCAACCCTATTTTATTAAAAACTAGTTTTTTGGATTAAACACTGGTCTGGACTTCTTCAACAGCAGCGACTAGGGTTCTTCAACTTCCAACAGCAGCAACTTCTTCTTCTTCATCTTCTGATTTCTGAAAGAATCTCAAAGCATCAACTAGGGTTGCTCCTCTTCTTCTTCTTCTTCTTCTTCTTCTTCTTCAACTTCAAGTTCAAGACTTCAACAGGTATGTTCTGAACTTCTGATTTTCCTCCTCCTTCTTCTTTTTCTTTTTCTTTTTCTTTTTGTTTCTGAACTTCCAAAAAGCGGTGAAATGCTGGGGAATTTTTTTCAGAAAATTACTGCCCATTTTTTTCAGTTTTTAACAGAGAATTCCTCTAATTTTTTATATCCTTTATTCTTAGTTCTTATTGCCTTTCTTATGTGTTATGTAGTTGTTCTTTTAATGGCGCCAAAAGAAGATAGGAAAGACCCGGCTTGGGCTTACTCTGAAAGAGTTAGCGAGACCAACAAGATGGCCATTAGATGTCTTTTTTGTGATAAGATTTCAAATGGGGGAATCTATCGTCAAAAACGCATCTAATCGGTGGTGATCCAAATGTCGCATCTTGTCCTAAAGTTCCGTCGCATGTGAAGGAAGAATTGAAAGCATTCCTTCAAAACAGTATTTATTTTAATTTTTTTTATAATTCCTCTTCACTTCAAAAAAGCAAGCGTTTCGCTTCTCGCTTCTCGTGAAATGGGAGTTGTTGGTTTTCCTCGCTTCACGCTCTTCACAACACTAAGTCACCTCATAACTTTGAAATGTGTTTCCATGGCTTAGAACCATGTGGCAGTCTACTCTATCTAGTACACCAGTTATTTGCCACCCCATATTTTACTTGTATTACAACTTTCCACAGGTCAGGGTTGTCCATGTTGTAACTCCGGTGCCATTTTATTAACAAACTCTTGTTGTGTAAAGTGAGATCTTTTATTCCTAGCCCTCCATGCACTTTGGGGAGGCCATTTAACCAAATGGAATTTGTGAGTTTAACTATTTCCTTCCCATAGAAAATCTCTCCTTAATTGATCAAGTCTCCTCTGGACCTTTTCTGGGATTGGAAACAGGGACAAGAAGTAGGTAGGAATGCTATCCAACACACTGTGGATGAGTGTAATTCTACCACCCAAAGAGAGATACTGCATTTTCCAGGAAGTCAATTGTTTTTCAAAATTTTCAATTACCTCATTCCAAATACCTAGAGCTTTGTGTCTAGCTCCCAGTGGAAGACCCAAGATATGTTTTAGGGAAAGAGCCCACTTTACAACACATTACTTCCGCAAGCTCTTCCAAGTTTGGAACTGAATTGACTGGATAGATGATGCTCTTCAACATGTTCTACTAAAGATATTTGACTTGTCAAAGGAAAATGCCGGATGGGCCATGTCATATTCCTGTTCAAATGATGGTATAATATTTCTAGGATTCAAGTTATTGTCTCGTTATATTTTTCTAGAAGTTGGCAGACAAAGAACTGTTGTAAATATGAGATCATATAAAATGAATATTGATCAAATACAGAGTAACTTTTCTTTTTTGTCTATGTGACGGTAAAACAAAATGAAAACCAGAGAGATGGTTTGATGCTTTTTCTAAATACAAGTACGATCTTTGGTTGATCTCTGCTCAAGAATTGTGAACTATGTTACTTTTCTCCCTGATTNGATCTCTGCTCAAGAATTGTGAACTATGTTGCTTGTCTCCCTGATTCAGAAAAGGATTAATTTTTTAAGTATGAAACTGTTGATTCAACTATACTTCTTAACCTTACAGTTACGCTTTAATACTCTTTAACAATTGTAAATTGGCTAGTTCACGGGCTGTGTTTATTGATACATCATTTAGCAAGTTCAAGCTTTGATGTAGATCTGCTTAATTAAGTAGGTCACATAAGTCGGAAATCTCGTAGTTTGCTTGAAATTAAACTGGTTAGATGATAGATAGACAATATCATGTTACTTAAAAAAAAGNCGCCCTTCAGGTTTTTTTCCTTCCTTATAGACCAGTGACTGAACAATATTAATTCTGTTACAAATTTACAATGAAGTTTCACTACGATGATGCTTCTGTGACTTCACCTTTTACAATTAATTAGTTATTTGTTCTATGACATATATTTATACGTCCTCAATTTCTTGTTGGTACAAGGTTTTAACTTTTCTGGCTGCAAGCTGGCCCAGACACTATTATAATTAAAAAAAGATATTGCGTCATCAATAATCAAACAGTTAGATAGAATCATTATCGCCCATCATTCTCACATACCCATCATTCTCACGTACCCATCATTCTGGAATCTAAAGCACCTGCCAGTGCCCTGTGGTATGATCCTTTTGAGCTGCGACAGTCTTTAGACCCTAATTTCTTACAAATGAAAGTTATGTTCTGCTTTGGTGCTTCATTCTGGTTATATATGAGCATTTCAGCATCTAAGTTGGAACTGTTAACTTCTCATCTTTCTGATTGACAAAAAAATGCAGTTCACTGCATGTGCTTCGTCATAGCTTATAGACCAATAAATGTAGCATATTTTGGTCTTAGACCTGTAAAACATAAATCTAGTTTGTTAATTTATTTATCTAATTTTTGTATAGACCGAGTAATGCAGCATTCCTGAAAGCTTTATTCTCTCCCTGGAATTCTGCTTGTGCCTAGCATCTGGATCATGATTCTTCATGCTAGAGAAGTATTTCTCGACTAGGAAAACTAGTTGCCTCCTGCATAGAATTGATATGCAAAGAAGATAAAAACATTTAAGCTTAGCATAAGACATCAACTTCTCAATCGATATTAATCTTCTTCTTTTTTTGTTGATGAAGTAAGTAGATTCATTGCTGGCATCAAGAAGATGCAAATTGTACAAAAGAGGTGTTGTTAGCTTCATTACATTTGTCTGTGCTATAGCAGGAAGCTAACAAGTTACAAAATAAGAGACTAAGCTAATCTATTCAGAATGTTAGTTCTGGATTACAAAAAACTGTTTAATGAAAATTCCATAAAGCCTGTGGAAGACAGTCCCCAAGGAAACTCAAGAAAAAATTTCCTTATTAGATGTTCAATTCAGTCAAGCAAAGCCCCACATCTTCAATAACTTTTTCACAAAGGATTCGTCCTAGTTGGAACACTGTTTGCTAGAACCATTGTTGTCCATATTGCAAATAGTCTCCATATAAATGTTGTCTTCTACTAACAGATGGAAATGTGTGTTGGCTAATAAATCATCTTTCACATTTCCAAAATGTCAAAATAAAATCTATATTTTTTTTTCATTTTTCCCTTTCTTTTTACCACTTTCACGCTCTTCTTAGTGGAATTTGGTTCTTAATTAGTGCAATTGTAGATGATTCTTGAGTTCCAACTTAAATGAAATGGATTACTAACTATATAACGGTTATTTCATTTCATCTTTTTTCTTTTTCTGATGTGCCCACCTCCATGCTTGTAATCTGTCTCCAAATAAGTAGAAATACTACTGTTTCTCATCCTTGTTACTTGTCAAATTAATTTGTGCACACATGTTTCAGCTTCTGATTTTTAATGTGTCTGCTTGTAAAAATTCTCCTGCATTGCCTTTCTGTTAATATTCTACATTTTGTTGAACATTTGCAGGGGGAGAATGGAAAAATGTCTGCTAGTGATCCAAATTCTGCCATTTATGTGACCGATTCAGCAAAAGAGATAAAAAACAAGGTTGTTTTTTTTTATGATGTGAACTATATTATTACACACCTTCTCAGAAAATAATTCCTTCCGAAAAAATATACTTTACACATCTCACATTCATCACCATATAATGAGTTAGCAGTTCTAGATTTGTTAGAACCCCTACATGCTTAGGAAGGATATGCTTTTGTTCTTTTGCTGCTCTCTTACTTTTGGTATCTAACACATTGTACAGATTTTTTTTATAAAGGTAAATAATTTCATTACAATTGGGGAAGCCCCATATACAAGCCGTATACCAAAAAGAAGAGAACCTACACCGAAATATGATTCTCAATAAAAGAGGCCCTATCCTCTATACAAGTTGGGATCTCATAAGTACACCAAAAAGAAACTAGAAACAAAAGACTACTTTGCACTTTTACAAAATCTTGTTCCACCCCTTCAAAAGCCCTCCTATTTCTCTTTCCAAATAACCACATGATTGCTAATGGGGCAAGAATCCAAGCCCTCGGGCTTCTCTTTCCCCTCCTATGAGCCCAACTATGCAATGCTTCCTTTACTGTGCCTGACATCACCCATTCCAGCCCAAACAAATTAAGGACCACCCTCCATAAACGAGTAGCCACTTGACAGTGCAATAGGAGATGATCTGCATTTTCACCCGAGCTTTTCCATGTGAAACACCAACTGATATATGTGATCCTCCTCTTTCTCAGATTTTCCGCTGTCAAAATCACTCCCCTTGCTGCCAACCATGCCAAGAAACACACATTTCTCTGTGCTCTAGGGATCCAACAGAGCAATGAGGAAAAATACATTCCTCTCTGCCTAATAAACTCTGTTAATAAGATTTAACAATTAATAATCCACCTCTACTCTCTCGCCATCTCGATACACCCGATTAATAACCCATTTCAACATGGGACCTTGTATAAGATGTAGATTCTTTAGTAGATCTCATTGGTTCCTTGTAGATGTTACAAGATTGTTTTTGCAACTTTTTGGGTCTTGTAACACTGATTTTACTCCTTAGCACAGTCTTTGTGCTAAGGACTATCTTTTAATATAATAAAATCTGTTAACTTCTCAAAAACAATTAACCCATTTCAACATTTGGTTAGCTACTGATCAGGTTTCAGCTACCACTAATTAAACAAATAAATAAAATAAAATAAAATAAGCTAAGATAGGGGAGAAGTTAAGAAGCTAGGGTGAGAACTTGGATTTAGTCAAGTTACTCTATGGTTCCAATCCTAGATATTACGAAGTTTCCCTGTCTGTAAATGCGAGCAGTTGTTGTTGCTGTGCTTGATAGTGAATTTTGACCTTCAATGCCTTTTAGATGAAGAACCTGCACTATGTTGGAATTTTAGTTTCATTTAGCTGATACCTTGTGAGCAAATTGAAGAGATTTTGGGGCACTCACTATAGCTGTTGGACAGAGTGTGGAATGAGTTTTTTTTTTTTTCTGTTATTGTTATCATTGATAATTGTAATTGAATTGCTTCCAACCTATAACAACAACAACAACAAAAAGCCCAGTGTAATCCCACAAGTGGGGATAAGCTTTCCAACCTATTGAGTAAAAAATGATATTTATGATGGGCACACTTGAGAAGAACCTTATCAGACAATTGATGATAAAGATACTTCTAAATAGTAGATGACTTTTAACAATAATTGTAATTGAATTACACTGTCTGATTTTGGGCTGCCTTCACCTTTATACAGTCTGAAGTTGTGGATTTTACTGACTGAATCTTCTGTTTGCAGCCTCATATGATGTTTGAGATTATCCGATCAATATATGGGCTTTCTATTGCGCCTTTTGCTTGTATTACTGGGACAGCTGTAGCATTTTGCCGGACCATCTTGTTAAATCGTCTTTGTTACCTTAGTGTCTTCAATACTTGCAGTAGTGAGAAAAATTTTCTCTAATTGCTTTTCCATACTTATTTTTCTCAGACTTCAATGTGTTCTTTTTAAAGTTCTTGTTTGTGGGGAGGGAAGAGCTGGGTTTTTTTTTTTTGGGGNATGCCCTAGCATAGGAGTCCAGTGTCCAGTCCCACTACAGTAATTTTGAGCTAGGTAACACCGGAAACTGAGGCTATTGGAGTTTGCTTCCCTTTAGAAGTTCTTTACCTAGATGGATATTATCCAGATTGATTACTCTATGCTAAATAACTTATCTCAACAAAGCAGAATAAATGACCCTTTAAATTGTAACTATGTGCAGATAAACAGATATGCATTCTCTGGTGGCAAAGACTCAATTGAGTTGCACAGAAAGTACGGAGCGAACTTGGAGGTAACCAAATTTATATGATCCCACTAGCTAATTCCTAGGACTTGCATTTCAATTAAATAACTGTATGTGCCTGAATATAACATCTCAAGACTGCGGGTTGTCTCTGCCTGTTCTCTTCTCGATTGGATCGCTATAATTTTGTATCATCTTTAGCCACGGGAAAAAAGAAGAAAGCAAAGTAAAACCTCTCATCTTGGATATTGTCCAGGTTGATATACCATTTAAGTATCTTGGCTTTTTCCTGGACGATGATGCTGAGCTGGAACGCATTAGAGAGGTTAGTGTACATATTTTGTCATCTCATTTCTTTACAATTCAAAACTTTCATTGGTAGAACTCCAGCATTTGGTGTTTAATTTAGTTCACACAAGGACTAACCAGTAGTTGAAGTTACCAATAATGGTCGTACGCTCGCTTTCAGGAATATGGGTCTGGACGTATGCTAACAGGTGAAGTGAAAAAGAGGCTTACTGAAGTTCTAACAGATCTAGTTGAAAGCCATCGACGGGCTAGGGCGTTGGTGACTGATGAGGTAACTAACAGTAACTTCTGGTGTGACCTGAAGTGAACTAGCTCTTCCGAATTTTAAAGTACTCATTCTCCATTTCAAATTCCCTTAGATTATCAAGTCAATTTGTCCTGACTATCTCAATCTCAAATGACATAATTTTCTCTTTAGTGGTCAAAAAATACAGCTTGGTCTGCTAGCTTAAGTGAACACAGAGATTGAAATTAGCGCCAGTTCTCCATTTTCTTTAACTACATAGGATCCTTTACCTAACTCATTGTTGCTGAGTGGTGTTCGCTGTTTACTCTTCCTCGGACAAGTCACTAGATATGTCAAGGGTGTGAATTGTTCCTCTTATGAGCATGACATTCCTTCACAGTTATTTCAATACTCAATTTGCTGCCTCTTCGATTATCTGCGCTCGGGGATAAAAAACTAAGGGGGTTGTGAGGTTCTTCTTTTTCAAAGTGTTCTTCTTTAGTGCATCTTTTGCTGGTCCAATTACTGTATCCCTTTTTCCTTTTTATGCTTCTCTCTCATTCGACGTGCTCTATGTTTTTCTTGCTATTTCTTTATGTTTTCAATTCCACTAATTTACTTGCTTGTTGAATGGTCTTTCCTGCAGATGGTAGATGCTTTCATGGCCGTTAGACCTCTTCCTAATATGTTCAACTGAATAGGGGAATTTTCGTCACGTCGATATGTTCTTTCTTGAGGCAACTAGTCATTGTTTCTCTCGATTTACTGAGAGGTGTTTCTTCTTTAATTGTAATTTCTTTTTTTCGTGTATTTTTATAACTCGTAAATTTCAGTTATATTTGCAAAAACAAAGTCATGAAGGTGGCATTACTCTTCCCCACTCGTTGAAATTTACACCATTTTGAGGACCCTAATGGTTCATGTTTGGTTAAGTACTAGATTTTCTACCACAACCCCAGCTTGGTAGATGGATTTGTGGTAACTTTAACATGATTTATTTTCTTATCACTTGTATCTCTTTTTGTCCGGCATTTGTGGCCCTTTTTCCTATTTTTAATGAAGTCTCTTGTTTTTCTGGCTAGTTTATTTGAACTCTGGAAAGCATTTTTCTGCCTTTACATAAAGTTACTGCAATTATAAGATGCACGCCCTGGAACTTCTTGAAAAATTCTTTAACAATATAGCAAAATAAAATATGCACAAGTTATGTGTGAATCAAGATATTATTTGGATGCGGGGTAAAATGGGGAATAATAATGTGAGTATTGGTAATACTTGGGTTAAAATGCTAAAATGACAAAACTAACTCTCATAATGATAACAAATTTTTTATTTTGTTTGAAAGGTAACAAATATTTTAAACCAGACAAAGCATATAATGTAGATATCAAATTAGATATTCAACTAGAATTAATTCATGCATTACTAATCCTTACAATTTATGTATTATTGATCTCTACAGTATTAGTTCCTGCCCAACTTGTCTTTAGAGCAGATGCCCCGACCCCTAAACACATTAAAATTAGATGCCCTAAAATGATCCCATGATTATTTTAATCATTAAATCATAATGCTGCATCGCAAAAAAGAGAGAATATCAGTATTAATAAGAAGATACCCATGAAAGAAACTCCAACCATTGTATCAAATTACAAAAATATTAATACGGACTACAACTTCTTAGTTGATTGAAAAACATAGGCAAACACCGTTTGTAAAAAAACACAAGATAAATAGAGAAGACGAATAAGATTGAAATGAATATAAAGGGGGGACAATCGAGAATAACAATCTATGAGAGGTTAGTAAAGGAACTCCTTTTCCTTTCATATATAGGAAATATATTAAGTACGAGACCAAGCCCTATATCATCCAAATAGTTTAATCTCTATAAGTAGCAATTCATTAGTTGTTTTTTCCCCTCATTGTCTTTCCGGTGTCGGTTTCTCTCTCTTTGGTTTTCTTCTATTCCCTTGCCATCCTCGGCTACTAATTATAACAAGCAACACAAATCTTAGCATAAAAATTGATATACCAATTACAACATGATCGCTGTCAGCTCAAGTTGGAAGCTCCAGCTCAGTAAATTCAGTTAGCAGTTAGTTAGTCTAACTCAACTAACAGTTAGTTAGGAAGTTAGTTAGTTAGTTAGTTGGGAATAAGAATCTTCTAGAAGGAATCGTGTATTCATTCATAAAAGGATTACAATGTATCATTTTACAATCATCAATGAAAATACAATTACAATTTCTCTCCCAATTCTCTCTTTCTCTCAATTATAATTTCTTCACTCCATAAGCTGTAATCTTTGAGTTTCTCCGCAAAACTCCTAGCTCAGCTGCTCAATTCTCGAATTCACTATTAAAATCATGCAATTGAGATATATGTGATATCAAAGCAGTCATTTTCTTGGCTAAAGAATGACGAAAGGAACACAATCGAACAAGAATTCCTCGACAGAAGTAGGAGAATTACGTGAATTAATGGAGAAGTTGATCTCTGATATTGGGGTTATTACTGGAGAAGTGTCTAACCTCAAAAGGTTGGATCAAAAAGTGCATGATTTACAGGAACAAATTGCAACTTTAGAAAAACATCGAAGAGATAAGACTCCATTGCAACAGGAGGATAAACCATTTGATGGAAGACCTCAGAGGGAAAAGAGCCCTGCCAGTTGCAATCACCATAATTCAAACTTCAATAGATGGTCTTGAATGGATTTTTGAGATTCTCAAGTGAAAATTTAATGTCTTGGTTGTTCAAAATCGAACAATTCTTCTCCATGGAGAAGGTTGCAGCTGAAGAAAAAGTGGAAGTGGCTGCAATGCAGTTGGAAGGAGAAGTCATTCAGTAGCATTTAGCGTATATGAGGTACATACAATACCTCCAACCTGCTACATGGACTGGATATATGGTGGCTTTGGTGGAAAGGCTTGGAGTGGACTTTGATGATCCTACGGAATAACTCAAGAAGGTTAGACATATAAGTAATGTCAAAGAGTATCAAGCTGTATTTGAAAGGCATCTCACCAAGGTCAATCTATTAGAAGAAAAGCCATCAGTTGTTTCCTTGATGGTTTGAAACGTGAATTGAACATTGCAGTAAAAATCACACACCCCACCACCTTGTCACAAGTCTATAAGAATGCCAGAATGCAAGAAGCTTATCTTGCTGCTATCAGACAACCCTCACTTATGGCAAATTCATCGATAAACTCCTCCAGAAGAAGTGGAGACCAAAGGAACAACAATAGGGCCTTGTTACCAACTCCCAATTATAGTAACTCTACAAGCTCCAAGGGATTTAACATGAGGACATTGAGTTTGGAGGAAATGAATGAAAAAAGAGATAAGGGTCTTTGTTACTTATGTAATGAGAAGTATGTAGTTGGCCACAAATGCCAGAATCTGAAACAATTATACCTACTTGAATTAGAAGAGTGTGAGGGAGAGCAATTGCCAGTAGAAGAAGTGGTAGGTGAACTAGAGGAACAATGGTTGGAATTGAGTCAACCAAAGGAGCGGGTGGAGATCTCCATCCATGCCTTGAATGGATCTCTTGGGTATAGAACTTTAAAAGTAACTTGTTACTATTCTAAGAAGTCACTGCATATACTAGTGGACATTGGAAGCTCTCATAATTTTATTGATTCAGAGTTAGTAGAAAAATTAAGGTGTCCTATTAAATCCACTACTCCTCAATTGGTAGTTGCAGCAAATGGCAACATAATGAGAGTTGATAAGGTATGAAAAATCTCTTGGTTGTTGCAAGGCGCTAAGTTCTTTGCTGAGTTTTTACTGTTACCACTAGGCTCTTGTGGAGTGGTTTTGGGGGTCCAGCGGTTGCTGACATTAGGAGATATCAAGATGAATTTCAGAACACTTACCATGGAATTCTATTACAAGGGAAGGAAGCATGTTCTCAGGGGTACAAGAAAGTAATTTTTGACTCCTTGAGCTGGAAAACTAACCGGAATCTCACGTAACCAATTCTAGCTTTGTATGATCCAAGTGGTACTTGCTATGTGCAATACATTACAATGGTATTCTCTAGAATCTAAAGTAGAGGTTACATAAGATCCTAGGCTTTTACAATTGCTACATGAGTTTAATGATCTATTTAAGAAACCTACACAATTAACCCCATCTAGAAGACTATTAGATCATAAAATCATATTGCAAGCTGGCACTGAACCTATAAACAAAAGACCTTATAGATATTCAGAAGTCAAGAAGGACATTATTGAGTCGTTAGTTCAGCAAATGTTGGATCAATGTATCATTCAACCTAGTAGCAGTCCATTTGCTGCACCTGTAGTTTTAGTTGTTAAAAAGGATAGTACATGGAGTCTATGTGTTGATTATAGAGACTTAAATAAGCAGATTGTGAAGAATAAATTTCTCATTCCAATTGTAGAGGACTTGTTGGATGAGTTGGGAGGGTCTAAAATATTTTTAAAAAATAGATTTAAGGTCTAGTTACCACCAGTTGAAAATAGCCACTGAAGATATGCCAAAAACAACCTTAAGGACTCATGCTGGTCACTGTGAATATCTGGTAATGCCCTTTGATTTATCAAATTCTCCTCAACCTTCCAAGGTATGATGAACTCAGTTTTCAGGTCTTTCTTAGAAAGTTTGCGCTAGTTTTCTTTGATAACATACTAATCTATAGTAGAGATATGGAAGACCATCTGCTGTACTAGAAGTTTGTGTTCAATGAGATGAGGAAACACTAACTGTTTGTTAAGCATAGCACGTGTTTCTTTGGAGTTGACATGATAGAATATTTGGGGCACTTCATTAATGCCGAGGAGTCTCAATAGATCCTCAAAAAATAGAATCTGCGAAGAACTGGACTCTTCCAACTACTATTAAACAACTAAGAGGGTTTCTAGGTCTAACATGGTATTACAAGAGGTTCATCAAAGGATTTGGGGTTATCAGTAAGCCATTAACTGATCTTCTTAAAAAAGATAACTTCAAATGGTCACTTGTTGCCTCTACAACTTTTGAGCAGTTGAAATCTGCTCTGACTCAAGCGCTAGTGCTAGCATTACCTGATGTTAACAAGACTTTTGTGGTAGAAACTGATGCAAGTGGACAAGGAATATGTATTGTCCTCATGCAACAAGACCACCCTATTACTTTTATCAGTAGAGCCTTTTCCCCTAGACATGTTGCTCTCTCAGGGAATTGTTAGCTATTGTTCATGCTGTAACAAAGTGGTCCCAATACTTGCTTGACTAGAAGTTCATTATGAGGACTGATCAAAGAGACCTAAAATTTCTAATGGAACATAAGCTTCACACCAATTCTCAGTTAATGTGGTTGACATAGTTGATGCATTTTGACTATGTCATTGAGTACAAGAAGGGGATTGAAAACAAGGTGGCATATGCTCTTTCTAGAGTATCTGGAGCTGAACTATTTTCATTGGTCATCTCCAGTACCAGCTCAGAGTTATTACAAGATATAGCTCACAGTTAGGACACAGATCCTGAGCTAAAAGCACTCATTGAACAAATGAAGGTGGATCCTGCAACTCACATTCAATTTACTTAGCACCATGATCAGTTGGGAGAAAAGGGAAAACTAGCGGTAGGTAAAGTGCCCCAACTTCGACTAAACATCATTACTTTATGGCACTCTACTCCCCAAGGTGGTCACTCAGGTATGGAGGCAACATTGAAGAGGATCTTAACATTATTTTACTGGAAAAGCATAAGAGAGGATGTAAAACTCTTTGTTCAGAAGTGTGACATTTGTCACCGAAAGCATGACTTAGCTGCTTATCTTGGTCTCTTACAACCTCTCCCGATTTCGGAGGTGGTATGGTCCCAAATCAGCATGGATTTAATTGATGGACTTCCTAAGTCAAAAGGGTATGAGGTGACACTAGTCATAGTAAACATGCTGAGTAAGTATGGCCACTTTATTCCTCTTAAAATCCCTTATGCTGCTTAATCTATAGCTAAGGTATTTATGGAGGTCATTTACAGACT